AGATGATAATTAAAAGATAGGTCAGAGACCTTACCCACAGAGAGCAAAGAACCCAAGTGAACAACAAGAAAGGAGCATCATTTTATATTCTTAACATGTAAGTAGGTTATGAATATTGATAGCACCAACCAGAAGAAAGAGGGACTGAAATATGGGCTTGCAGAGCCATGCTTTGTTCACAGCCCAAAATCAATACTAGAGCATTGCCCAACATGCATCAGTAACCGTTCATCAATTATTTACCCAGCTCTTTTGTTCAAAGTTTCTGTTTACAAGATTTCTTAGTAACTTGAAAATGATTGTTTCCTTTCACCTGGTTGCAGGATAGGGCCTGAGTTAGTTTTGTTATTTTTTGGGTCACACTTGGTGGTGCTCAGGGCTCACTCCTGGCTCTGAGCTCAGGGATCAGGGTACATATGAAGTGCTGGGGACCGAACATGGGCTAGCCGCATACAAGGTTAGCTGCCTTACACACTGTGCTATCTCTCTGATAGGGTCTGGGTTTTTTATGAGAAGAACTTGAAAGAAAAACATTTGTATAAATACGTGGCTTCTGTCATTTCTAAACGCAGGCTCAGATCAAGACTTATATTGACCTTATTTTGGGAATCCTCACTTCCATCAAAGGCTTTGACCTGACAATCAGGAGAACAAGGACCATTTTTTAACCTCAAGCCCAAATGAAAGCCAAGTGAAAAAGAGTTGTTACCTTGAGTTGTTCCCCAGTTTGTCCTTGTTGCCCAGTTTGTCATTTCTCAAGGTATAACTGACTTGGAAACAAGGGAATTGCACTTTAAGTTCTACCCTTCTTTGGTCCCATTTGTCTGTCAGCTGTTTTCACTTAAAATTTAAGTCTGTTTTGAGGTGAGGGCCTGCTGAATGCTTTTCTTTTTGCTCAAGGTGACTACTTGGCCAACAGTTTACACATAGGAGAAACAACTTCATTAAGAACTTCATTTTTGCTACTCACCATTCTACATTTTCTGATCAGATGTTTGCCAAAACAAAAACTCTGTCAGGTAGCACAAGGACCATTTGATAAACTGAAATTTACAATACAAGTCATTGAGAGAAGTATATAGAAACTCAAATATCAATGTTGAACTCCTTGCCACTGCCTATTCTGAGCAATAAACCAATTTAAAAATGTCATGTTCTGGGGCTGGAGTGATAGTACGCTGGGTAGGGTGTTTGCCTTGCAAACAGTCAACCCTGGTTCGATTCCCAGCATCCCATATGGTCCCCTGAGCACCACCAGGAGTAATTCCTGAGTGCAAAGCCAGGAGAAACCCCTGTGCATCGCTGGGTGTGACCCAAAAAGCAAAAAGAAAAACAAACAAACAAACAAACAAACAAAATCATGTTCTTCCATTCCATGGAGCAGGAATTGGCAAATTAGTCTATAAAGAGCTAAGTATTAAATATTTTAAGCTTTGTCTACCATTCAGACTCTATGACAACCAATCTGCTCTACTGTCAGAGATAATACATAAATGAATGTCATGGCTGTGTCCCAATGCATCTTTATTGACAAAAATGGACAGGCTGTATTTGACTTACAGATTGCAGTTTGCCAACCCCTAATGTAGTAGAATCCTTACTCTTTTAGTACAACTCTTAAATTAATCTTGTCTAAGTTAGGACCATTCCATTCATATTCTATACTCAAGCATTGCCCTCCACAATGCCATAGAGAGGATATCATTTTGAGTTTAACACATTGATTCATACTAATAAATATTTTGTATTAGATTTATTATTAAAAATTATCATAAAAAATCACTTGTCTATTTCAGAGTGACGCTAAATGGTGAAGAGAGGCATTAGATTGCAATGGATTCACCCTTGCCAAGTGAGTCCTTAGGCTCTATCAAAGAAAATTTAGGGCCAAAGACTGGCCTCTATTGTGAATTAGGCATTTTAGTGAGGTGTGTTTTCCATTGCCACTTTCATAAGTCGACTGCCAAGTTTGTATATCAACAAATTCTCTCCAGAAAAAAACAAAATTCTAGGGTCAGGGAAATAGCTCGGAGTTTGGAGTGTTGGAACACATGCATGCTTGTGCAAGGCTCTGAGGTAAGTCCTCAGTACCTTGAATCTCCCCACTCCAAGCATCATTGGGTGGACCCTGAAACACTGAATCGAACACAACACCACCATGTCCAGGAAGAAGTGGTGCGCAATTCTCTCTCTCTCCCCCCTTCCTCTCTCCCCCTCTTTCTTCCTCCCCCACGCTCCCCCTTTCTCCCTCCCTATCCCTCTCCTCCCTCTCCTTCTCCCTCCCCCCTCCCTCTCCCTCCCTCTCTTTCTCCTCCTATCCATCCCACACACACCAGCACAGCTAGAAGTTCCTATTTTAAATATATATAGAATTTTATATTATATATGTATACACACCTATATACATATTTACATATATATGCATGTAAAAGCCACGACATGAGTAAATTCAAATAGATAGCAACTGACCAAGTAACCATGGTCCTGCATGAGGGAGTATAAATTCATTGTCTCCTCTCATTCTCTATAAGGAGTATAATCATGGAAGAATATGGGCTCAGTATTGCTGTATAATCTTCTCTAAAATACCTTGGAAATACACATATGCTGAGGCTTCATTGAAATATCTGAAACCTCTATTCAAAAGTGCCAGGGAGAAAGGCTAGAGTCCTGCCAGTATATACAGGGTATAAACAACCTATGGTTCTTTAACCATGTAAGACTAAATATTCAGGTGATATTTGAAATATTATCACAGATCAGCAATCTCCTTTAAATGAAAGGTGTGACCATTCTTTATGATGGTTTTTAAACTCAAGTAGAAAATTCAACTATGAATATTTTACCCAACTTTAAATATTTATAAGACTTATTAGCATATTAGCATATTCTGAAGCAATTGCAAAGGCTGCGTGTGCTGGACACAAATTTGATAAAGCAGGAACAGATACCAGACACTACTACCCAGATTCTAAATATGGCATCTCCCTGACACTTAAAACATACCTGGAATAATCAATGTTACTTTCTTAAATATTAAAATAATATTTTGTTATTTTTAAAAGACTCACTGTATAATTATCAATAGTATATAGCTGCGTGAGTTTAGGCAAGTTTAATTTTATTAAATTATAAATTCTCCACTATAATATTGGAATATTGAGTAGAAAATAAATAATGCAATTAAAAGTACATTATTTCCCCAACAGCTCAGACTGGGGCAGGGGAGTTGTATCTCAGAAGGTTCAGTTAAGTTTGATGCATGAACAGACTTCTAGTTTTTCAAACACAGGCAGTAAAAATGTGCACAAGGTTTAGAGTGGCATATCTGAACCTAGGGGGTTCGCTCTAAAGTCTAGGGGATCACTACATCCTTTGAATGAGATTCAGGCTGAATTCACATAGGTGGGAGTTCCATGTTTTAGAATATAACAATTTATTCAGGTAATCTCAGGTTCCTTGAGACTACAAGTGCCATCAGTTGAGGGGCTAACGATGTTATGACTCAGAGCCTCACAACACTCTGGGTGACTTTGCCCTACATTCTGTAGAAAAATATAACAATAATAATAAATTCCTCCATCTAATCCCCTACAGAAATAAAATAAAAACTATAACATTAAAATAATTCTCAAAGAAAGCTCCGTTTCAGGGTTAACTTTTGAAGTAGGTAAAAAGCACAATTTTCTGCAATTATGGATGAATTGGCAGCTTTGATACCAGCCATTTTCCCAAATGGACCATTCATTCTCTAGAAATGGTTTATACCTTAGAAATATAGCTCAAGGTGAAGCAGTGTCATTTTTATTTTATCTTATTTGGTGTACAATTATTGGGAGAAGAAACAATATAGCCATCTATATATAGACATCCAGTTTGTCATAGAGTAAACATTCCCAAAATTGAATGCTATTTTTAAAAAGGTACTTTGTTTCTTTTCACATTTGTATTTAAAATTTGTGAGCTTAGGATGTCAATACAAAGTCTTAAGGCATTAAATAATACAAAACTTAACACTCCATCAGCAGAATGAATTTTACTTTCTAATATGAGAGTACCAATTCTGGTAAGTATTTAAGTCAGTCAAATTCAAACAAAATTAAGCAAACAAAAGACTACTGTCTCCTTCCATTCCTTTGGTAAGAATAAAATATAACTTCTATAAACAATATTATATTATTAGTTCCTCCCATAATTATGAAATGAACAAGAATAATTAACAGTGGTAAATATGCTTTTGGCATATCTTAGTATAAAAAAATCTATCCATGTTATAATAGTAGTGTGTATTTTAATAACATTATACATTTTAAAAATCTAAATCAGTTACTTTTCATCTATAATGTTTCTGCAGGACAGCATCTCAGAATATTTGAAGATATGTCAGCAGCAAAAATCATTAAACCAAAGAATAAATGATTCTGATTTCCCTTAATTTAAAGAAGATGACTAATAAGTAAGTAGGGAAAGATCAAAGTTAAAAATAAATCATCTACAATCTAAAAATTCTGCATTTCAAGTCTTCTGTCTGAGTGGAAACAAAATATTTTAATATAATTGACATAAACTGGATCTAAGAACTCATCCTTGATCTAAACAAGACAATTTTGTATTTTAAATGATTCACCTCAATAACTAGGCATACGCCATAAAAATCCCAACAGGTTTTATTTCTTTTGTTGATATGACATGATCAAGCTTTGGTTATAAAATATTACAGTTGATATGCTTCCTTAGAACTCAGTGAAATAGTGTGCTGTCATAAAAAAAAATCCCATTTTACTTCTGCTAACCTGTTGAAGAAATTAAAACACAAAATTTTAAATCATTAAAAGAAAAAGTATAAATGCACATACAATAACCCCCAATAAGTCTTTTTATTTTCAAGGATTATAAATTTTTATACACCCCTTATTCACAGTTCATTAACCTACATTTGTGAATGTATTTCCAAAATGTTTTGGTATTCAGTACCCTCCCAAAGCCACATTAATGCGATGGCTAGCAGAAAACTTTAAAAAAGAAACAGAACGAGGAGCCAGTGAAACAAATATCCATGTTCCTTTGTAATCGCAGAAAGAAATTGAAAACAAATTCTTCAGTGGCAATCCATTTTAAAGTCTCTGAATTGTTCATCCAGGTTGTCTTGGAGGTATGTTCCCAGGGAATGCAGATAGGGCATCAATTTGGCAGCCTGTGTTTATAATTCAATGTAATAAGATCATGAAGTAGAAAGGGCAGAGACAGTTACGTGAACGCCACTTTACAGCACACATATGCAAATGTGATGTTGCTGAAATCCAAGAAAGACCATTTCCCACAACGTGGACAGGACTGTAATCCAAACAAGAGAGCTCTGCATCCTGTCAATCCTCTGGAATTGAAGCAAACCTCTGTTTGCTACCGTGTCACCTAAAACAAATTTAAAAAATAGGCATTCAACACCCCTTATCCACCAAAAGGAAATAATCCTTCCTTCCACTGGATTCATACCTTGTCTGCATCATTTATGCAGTTTTGCGGTTTGGGCCTTTATCCGAAACCAACCTCACCAAATCAACTGTTTAAATCAATTTCTTCTTTACATTTCTTGCCTTTAAGTTGCAGAGAACACATTCATGAAGGTTTCTATAACATGGTGTTATGCATCTAGATTGATATTTTGTGGAGCTGTAAAACTCCCATTAGATGAGGTATATTCATTACCCAACAAGCTAACTCATGCATGCTAAGCACGCTTTGTTAAAGGCACTAAATTTTTTCAAATGAAAGATTATTAAAATGAGAATATGTCAAGATCAAAATGCCATCTCTGTTACTTCCCCAGTTATCTTTCATATTGTAATGATAATTTTGTAAAAATGCAATATTTACTGAGGATATACATCCATTCACTAGTCCTGGTTTTGTTTCCATTTTTCTTAATATCCAGGGTCATTATTTTACTTACAATATAAGAAAATAGAACATTTTACATAAATAGGAATTTACATCCTTTGATTTGCTCACATAAGAAAAGTTACAGGTGGGGCTGGAGCAATAGCACAATGGGTAGGGTGCATGCCTTGCACGCAGTCAACCCGGGTTTGATTCCCAGCATCCCATATGGTCCCCCGAGCACCGCCAGGAGTGATTCCTGAGTGCAAAGCCAGGAGTGACCCCTGAGCATCGCCCGGTGTGACCCAAAAAGAAAAAAAAAAAGAAAAAGCAAAGTTACAGGTTAGATCATCAATGTACCTGCTACAAATATTTAAAGCTTAAGTCTAACCTCTATTTCATAAAAATGTTTTTTGATAACACAATCAGCATGCCTTTTGTACCAGATGTTTTATTATCCAAATCTCAGCTTTGCTACTAACTAGCAGTTGAACAGTTTTTTGGATTATTCAGGAATAATATATCAAACCAAATAAAACTAGGGGCTAGAGTTGACCTACTACATGGAACCAAATATAAAATATCTTAGCTTTGCAGGGATACAGTCACTGTTACAACTATGCCTTTATGCTTTGAAACTGAACATAAACAAAAGAACGGGTATTTATAAATTCTAAAATTTGGATTTCGAATTATTTTAATGTGGACTGAAATATTTCCCTTCTGATTTTTTTGATGATCTAAAACTGTAAGTCCCATTCTTAGCTCACAGGCCATACAAAATAAGCCAAGAGCTAGATTTGATTTATAAATTGCAGTTAGCTAATGCCTACTCTAGAACCTAGCTTTTTAAACAATGAATCATGATGCCATGTAGAATAATTGGAGGTAGAGGCTGCCAAAAATTTGGCTCCAGCAAAAGGCTTCTAAACATGCAATGTCCTGAATTAACTGAAATATAATGAATTGGAGTCAAAAGGGTTAAATAGGTCAATATGTGAAATGGTGGTTGTGCTAATAGGGAAAAAGTTAATGCAGCATAAGGAAGTAGGAATATCGGGTCTCCTGTTTTACGGAAGATTTTCAGGAAAGGTGGCTATTCAAGTAACAATCTAGGAATGTTGGGTCAGACTATTAACTTGGCTGGGCTGATGAAAGCTGAAGGTGGCAAGACTGATGAACAGTATATGGGGTAATAAGACAAAGAATGGAGGAATTACCCAGGATGGGAGAAGCATGCTGAAAGTAGACTATAGACCAAACATGACTGCCATTCAACACCTCTTTTGCAAACTACAACACCCAAAAGAAGAGAGAGAACAAAGGGGAATGCCCTGCCACAGAGGCAGGGTGGGATGGGGGATGGGGGGTAGGAGGAATACTGGGACCCATGGTGGTGGAAAATAAGCACTGGTGGAGAGATGGGTACTTTATCATTGTATAACTGAAACTCAAGCACAAAAATTTGTAAGTCTACAACTGTACCTCATGGTGTTTCACAAAATAAAATAAATAAATTTAATAAATTAATATTTAATATTAATATTTATCATTATAATAAATATAAACAATTAATATTTAATAAAATTAATAAAATTTGATAAAAATAAATTAAAAATAAAATAAAATAAAATATTAAGAAAAATAAAATTTTGCATGCAGGTCAAAAAAAAAAGAATGGAGGAATTATCAAACAATGAGGTTGGTCATTTCCGAGATAAGGGAGATATCTTTGCCATAGTTTCTTTATCTGCCAATGAGAAAACTAACACCTGCTTCTTCAGTTGTAGAAAAGAGTGAATAAAACATGAACTGGAACGTTGGCCCCTTGTATCCACCGACCTATCATGTGGTTGGCACCTAGAAAATGATAGCTTTTGTCACATTAGCTGTTCCCAGTTAGGTGCTTTATGTATACATATAGGTGCTATAGATAGAGATAACATATGTATATGTTATCTGTTTACAGCTATGTATGAATCTACATTCAGGATGTTATTCTCAAAAGAACCTTATTTAAGAAAACTCATTCTCCATGCTCCTTTTGCTTGAACATCCATAGTAAAACTTTGAAAAATTTTGGATGATAAGATGCTTTCATATTTATTTTTCAAAACTTCCTTTTGCTTATTGTACTTGGATTGACTTTAAAGTCCTGGTAGATAAGAAATTGCATTTATGCCAAGCACTCTCAAAGACTACCCTGCCCCCTTAGCAATTCAAGATCAAGTCATAGAGATCAAGCAAGCCAAGGTTTCAAGGGAAAAGTGTCAACTCAAGAGAACCTTGAAAGAAATGCAATTTCAGAAGAAATAAGAGATGTCTAAAGCAATGGAATATGAGAATACATGGTCCCCTGGGTCAGGAACAACGAAGATCAAGCTGCTTAGGCTGTATTTTCCACATCAATTACCAATAGAGTTCCATTGATGGTCTCTCATTAAGGAGTATCTTACAATGGGATTTTACCCTAATGGCACCAAAAACATAGCCAATGAAACTAAGAAAGCAGAGTTCAAGGGAAGCTCAGACCAGGAGTGTCTGCATTTTACTTGTTAATTAGAATCATGCTAAGAACATCTTTTTTAATGAAGGGTTTTCTAAGCCATATCACAGAATTACTATTGTATCTTAGGATGGGGCTCAGAATATTTTTAAAATGGCTCCCATGATATTTTTGTGGCCAGTAATATATTAGGCAAAAAAGGATAAGGGTGACCCATAGCTGTAGCCCATGAGACAGAGAAAGACCAATCAGAAAGTGTTTAGAGAACAGATAAGGATTGGCTTATTTTAGATAAGGTCGGCAATGAAAAGAAAGCCTGTTGCTTAAATAAATACTACTTCTAGTTTTCCAACACAAAATATTGGAATTATTTAGGAGCTGGAGTCATAGCAAAGAGGGTAGGGCTCTTGCTCTATATGGCCAATCTGGGGTCAATGACTAGCACCCCATCTGGTCCTCCAAACCCTGTCAGAAGTGATCCCTGAGCACAGAGCCTGGAGAGAGTCCTGAGCACTATGGGGTGTGAACAAAAATATAAGAAATATTTAGACACTGAAATTTTGAAAAACAAAATGAATAGATCCAAAGAGTGTTAGCAACGGCAAGAGCCCTATCTACTATACTATTGCCCTGGCACCTAAAATCTAAACATTTGGAGATTTTCAAACACTATTAACATCTTTTGAAAGGGTTCTCCTGTGCATTTCAGGATTTTAAATAACAGGCAATCCTTTCATTCTACAAATAAGAAATATGAGAATTTTTTGGAGCGATAGCACAGCGGTAGGGCGTTCACCTTACAAGCGGCCAACATGGCTGACCCGAGTTCGATTCCTCCATCCCTCTCGGAGAGCCTGGCAAGCTACCGAGAGTATCTCGCCCGCACGGCAGAGCCTGGCAAGCTAACCCGTGACGCATTCGATATGCCAAACACAGTAACAACAAAGTCTCCAATGGAGACGTTACTGGGCCCGCTCGAGCAAATCCACGATCAACCGGAGGGCCTTTACCTTTACCTTTACCTTGGTTTCATGAAGAATTTAAAAATGCCAAATACATGTGGTGTTTTTTTTTTTTTTGGTGTGGGGAGGGGAAATACCACCAGCATGAATTAAAATACCTGTAACCTTCCAAACCTTTTATTAAAGTGTCCAGATAAAACCTGCAAAGAAATGCCAATAGAACTTTGATTTAATTCTCATTTTCATTTGTTATCTTCTCACTTTAATTTTTATTGAGGAGCTAACATTGGTTGGTGGCACTATATATGTTAAGAATATGGTTGAACAATTTTTCAAATGTATGCCACCACACCAGACCCACAATAAAATACTAAATCTCCTTCACCATGGCCCAATTCACCCCTCAAAACTTTGCTCCCAACCTTCCTTGCCTTCTGACAATCGAATTGGAGATCAGAAAATAAGGGTTAGTTTTATTCTTATTTGTTGTTACTCTACTGTTTAATAGGCCACACATAAGTGAAATTAAACTGGTTTTTTCTCATTTATTTCACTTAAACAGTCACCTCGAGTCTATGCATGTTGCCATAAATAGTAAACAGTAAAACTGTATTCTTTCCAATAGTTTTGTAGTATTTAAGAACTGGCATACTACTGTCCAAAGTGGCTACACGAATTTACATCCCCACCAAAGTCTATGAGCTTTCTCTACCCTTTTCTCCATATCCTTGACAACATTTGTTGTTGCTTGAAGTTTTGATATAATCTATCCCTGCAAGCCTGAGGTGATTCTGTGGTTTCAATTCCTCATTCCCAATAGGAAGGGAGTAGATGAGCATTTCTTCATGTATCTCTTGGCTATTTGTATGGGGTTTTGGAGATGAACTTTGATCAATTGGGTTGTTTGATTGGGTTGTTAGTTATTTTGATGTTGAACTTTCTATAAAAAGCATGAACTTTTTATGTATCTTGAATATTAGCTCCATGTCCAACATGTGATGTGCAAATATATTCTCAACCACAGTATGACATCTTTGATAAGAGTTTCTTTGGCTGCACAGAAGCTT